GTGTGTGTGTGTGTGTGTGTGTGTGTGTGTTTCAGGCCAGCCGTGCGGTCGCTGCCCAGCAGACAGATGTTTGAGCACGTCTTGAAGAGGCACAGTGTGTTGTTTCTGTATGTCGGAGGCGAGTCTCCTCTGAAAGTGAGCTGCTCAATCCGTCTTCATATCTACACTAAACTAAAGTTAAGAGAGTGAATGTGTGTTAAAGGTGCACTAAGCTATTTTTGCCAAACGATGTTGATATTTGAAAGCACCAAAACAAACTCGCCCATACCCCAACAGGACCTCGCCCCTATTTTGATAACTCCGCCCACATGTACTACACAGCCCTGGCAGCGACGGGGGCGGAGTCTGCTATGCCTGCCAGCTGCAGCATATTCAAGCAAAAGCCAAGACAGAAAAGTTGTGTGAAAAAGCAAAGTCAACGTAACTCGCCTATCAAGAAGAAACAAAGCAACCTTGGCGTCTGATTCCCTTCCGCTTCTTGAGTTCTCTGCACCGCTGGAAGCTGCTCTGATATTTACGCATCCTCTTGCCTGTTCGTAACCCTTCTTTTTAATGTTTTGTTCCTCCGTAATTTTTCTCTTTTTTTTTAATCAGCCATCTCTCGCTCTCTGTAGTTGATCTGCTAATATCCGTCCTGTGCACTCACTGAGCGCGCTCTTCTCCCCATCATCACTAGACACGCCCCTCACTGCTGATTGGCTGCGAGTGTGTTTTGGGACTCGGTCCGACAATGTGGTCAAAAGCGTTTTTCAGAAATCTCTTAGTGCACCTTTACAGACTCCGCCATGTGCGTCTCCTTTAATATTCTTTGAACTGTTCCTTCATGCTGTATTCATTTTGGAGCACACATATGTATAGTTTCTCAATGCTTCCATCACACTGTTATAAATTAAAACCCAAAATATGTGTCCAGTAACTGATATGCAACAACACTGCTGCAGTTACACACCCAGCAGATGGCGCTATTTATCATTCTGATATTACAGAAATCATGTTCGATTAAGAAAAATGCTTAAATATCAGTATTAGTGTTAGTATTTTCTATAGAAAATTAATTATCTTTCATTGACAACCATTATAGAGTTAATTCAGTGTCCAGAGCCCATCACTTATCTCACATTTTATCTTGCCGCCTTATGCTGATTGATTTTTTACTTCATGGTGGCAAAGCAAATGTGATTTGTGCTAACTTTGCACATTTATTAACACAAGTGTGCAGAGTATTTGGACTCGGTGTGGCCGTTATGAGCGACTCAAACTCCTGCAGATGGATGATGTGTAGCAGCATTGAAGTGAACACAGTCAAACATGCAGCTCATCAGACTCAAACACACCCTTTTGTGACACACCAAGCCATATCACAAATTCTGTGTACATTTGTATGATTAATTATTAGCTTTCCATGAACTCACCAAACCCTGCAGTTCCTCATGAAGCCCCAGTGGAAATACAGAAATGTTGCTGTTGTGTGATTTCAGGAGAAGTACACAGAGGTGGCGTCTGAGCTCATTGTGTACACCTATTTCTTCTCTGCGTCTGAAGACGTCTTACCAGAGGTAAGATTCAGATTCTGCTGCTTGTGCTTTCTTTTATCCAGTCTGCTGTTTTAAACAATCGCATGAAATCTCACTAAACTGTGTTGTTCTGCTGCAGTCTGTGACTTTGCATGAATTGCCTTCAGTGGTCGTCTTCAAAGATGGAACCTATTTCACATACGATGGTACGTGAAGAAAACGGTAAATCAGCATCTAATATGTGTTTGTACAATGCTTGAGCATTGAATTATCTGAGTCTGGCAGCCGCCACAGTTTCATAATGAACCCAAGACACTTTTCAGAAAACATGAAATGTGTTTGAGGTTGTGTTTTGCGCTACTACTTTTGTGAAGCATCTGTCAAACAAACTGAAATCAAAAGCACAATATTGCTTAGTGTTTTTATTAAATAACAAATGGCTGCAATTTAATGAAGTATGCAGGCTGTGTGTTTCCGAGCGAAGCGCACACTTTGCTCACAGGATCATCTGGTGTTTTCAGTTCACAGTGAACGCAGTGAAGCTCTGTCTCCGCATGTGCTGAGAGTTTAACAACAGCCACCCGTCACGCATTACTTTCACATTTGCATTAATAGCATATTTGTGGACAGATGATTACAGTATTTCTCCAGATTTGAGTAATGAGACGCATCTGTAAACCTGTTTTCTCACATTCACATTAACTGTCCTACTTTAGTGTAAAGTAAAATGTATAGTATATTAAGTATTTTTTCATTTACATATTAGATTATTATAATTATTATTTTTATGATAATGATGACGATTATTATTTTTGTGTTTCAGAGTATGAAGACAGCAGCTTGTCGTCCTGGGTGAACCGAGAGCGGTTCCAGAGCTACCTGCCGATCGATGGATTCACGCTGTATGAGCTGGGAGAGACCGGTAATACAGCTCTGCCATAATAGATGAAGTGTGGAGCATCGTTTCAAACTATAGCACCTGCTCAGTCCCAGAGCAACCTTACTTGTGAACATACTTCGGAACTGATACATTGACCATTACACAAGCTCTCAGCTCAGACTGGATTTCTGATGAATGTGAATTATTGAAAGCTGATCAGCAAGAGCCTTTTTTCTGTCTCTGTCTTGGTCAAGAAACGGTTTTCCTTTCATTGTGTCTCAGGTAAACTGGTGGCGATTGCAGTTACTGATGAGAAAGATCCGACAGAGCGAAGCAGCAGGTACAGAGATGCGGTTTCTGTGGTCTCGTGATGCTGGATGCCAGTGTTTTCTTCTGTGCTTAACCCATCCGTGTTCGTTCAGGTTGAAAGGTCTGATCCAGAGAGTAGCTGCTGAACACCGAGATCAGTTCAACAGGTGAGAGTCGCTGTGATTCAGATCCACGCGACAGCCTCGGCTCTCTACTGTATTCAGGATATGATGGCTGGTGTTCGTCAGCTTGAACATGTTTATTCAGAGCCTCTACGGTCAACAAACAGTACGGTTTACAGCAGTTTACTGTTTCCTGAGATGACGTGTTATTGACTTTTACCCGAGGAAATTATTTCCTGACAGAAAACCACATGAATTCCTCATGTTTTCCCCGTGTGCTCGCGTGGAGCAGTGCTGTAATATGTTTTAACCTGTGGAACGCATCACAAATACTGTACAAACTTTCACTGTAATATTTTAATCATGCACAGTAATGTGAGTGCCAACAATAGAAATCTACTGTACATGATCCTACGAAGAATTTCGAGCAGTAAATATCAAACAATTAGTCATTTCAGCTGAAAGATGAAGCCTGTGATACTAATGTTGTCCTTGGGATAAGACATTTATTAAAGGGGTCATATGATGCTGCTAAAAAGAACATTATTTTGGTGTGTTAGAACGAGCCGTTTTAGGTAGGCGTGGCTGACTCTTAACTTTTATAAAGAATATCTCTTTGGATTTGAGACTTTAGTCTTTGCAACTTTACAGATCTTCTTTATGCACCAAGAGCTTGTAACACTCCAAAGAGAAAGGAACAATTGAAATCGCATCATATGACCCCTTTAAGATTTATCTAATCATTTTCATTTAATCGGTTTAAAATGCTGAATTACTTCTATAACAAATGAATGCAGTTATCTGTGTTACTCTGACAGTTTTATATAATTAGTTTACAAAGACATATGTGAAATGATTATAGACTATTAATGTTAATCTAACTTTTATATATCCCAGTAACACTGAAAACATATTTGTCAAGTTGCCAGACATAATTACATATATTGCTGTCCATATAAAATGAAGAGACAATTTTATTTGTCTCTTAAGAAAACCTAGTATAATATTTCTATGAAGACGCACACAGTGTTGTGGTATGAATAGTAAAACAAACATTAACGTAAGTAATCATGCAGACAGCTTCATACTCTCATGCGATTCATCTACACTGAAATATTCATATATACACCACATCATATTATCACACGTATTATAACAGTAAACATTTTTACACAGGGTTTTTGACTTCAAGATGGATATTTGCTATTAAAGTCACATCATATTTGCAAAGATATATTCAGTTGTGTCACGTAATCGTCCACACGAGCCGTTAGTGCCGTGACCCATCGCCAATACTGTGTTCTTTTGTTTTTTCAGTCTGGATGGACAAATAACCGGAAGCTTCTCATCTTTTTCCAGCCCAAATAGACAGTCACTAGTTAAGAGTCTGTAAGCTGCTCTGTTTTGGCTTTTATGTATAGGATAGTGTAGAGTAGACATGAGAGCAGGGCTGAGAGAGGGAACAACATCAAGCGCTCCGTTCGTTCATGCTGTTTCTGTAATGATCAGAAGAGCTTTACAGACCTGCTTCTCTCATGCTGTGCTCCTCTCTGTCCTCCAGAGATTTCCAGTTCGGCCACATGGATGGAAACGACTACATCAACAGTCTCATAATGGGGTGAGTACGTCTGGATCTTCAGACGAGTTTGTACTGATGGTTGCACAGAGGTCAGGGGAAGATGGTTATGTAATAGGTGACATATTTGAAGAAATAACTATGTCATGTGACATAAACACTGTTGTTTGAGACTGACGGGATGCTCTTCCTCCTGCAGCGAGGTGTCTGTGCCCAGCATCATCATCCTCAACACGAGCAGGGCTGAGAGAGGGAACAACATCAAGCGCTCCGTTCGTTCATGCTGTTTCTGTAATGATCAGAAGAGCTTTACAGACCTGCTTCTCTCATGCTGTGCTCCTCTCTGTCCTCCAGAGATTTCCAGTTCGGCCACATGGATGGAAACGACTACATCAACAGTCTCATAATGGGGTGAGTACGTCTGGATCTTCAGACGAGTTTGTACTGATGGTTGCACAGAGGTCAGGGGAAGATGGTTATGTAATAGGTGACATATTTGAAGAAATAACTATGTCATGTGACATAAACACTGTTGTTTGAGACTGACGGGATGCTCTTCCTCCTGCAGCGAGGTGTCTGTGCCCAGCATCATCATCCTCAACACCTCAAACGAGCAGTACTTCGTGCCGGCGGAGCCTGTGGAGGATCTTCAGCAGCTGCTCCAGTTCTTCAGCAGCGTTCTGGACGGCAGCGCTCCGGTACTCTCAGATCCTCCGCATTCACCTCCAGTTACACACACACACACACTGCTGAAACACTCCAGTTACACACACACACACACACTCCTGATCACGTCTCTTTAGATAGAAAACACACACATAACCTTGTTTTCACAACTGAATGAATGATAAAGCACCTTCTGTGAATGTTTCTGATTGGACGGTGAGTGCCACACACAGGAGCTTGGCTTGTAAAAGTGTTTGGTCATGCGATGCGACAGCACAAACCTACTCTGCATGAGCTGCTGTCCTCTCAGAGATTCAGATGCACTTTGTGTTGATCCGGCTCTCCTCACAGCAGCATCCCTGTGTTTCTCGACAGGCGTATGGAGGAGACGGGATTCTCCAGAGGATCAAGCGTGTGGCGTATGATGCCAGATCCACTGTAATGGTGAGCTGAGTTCAGAAAAACTAACCCAAGTCAATCATTATTGAATATGTAATGTTTAGTAAACAGCAGTCTGTCTTTACACACAATGACAGCTGAAGGTGTGGATGTTCATTCAGTGTTCTTTCATTATTTCCCACCAAACCTTGACACAATGGCACTTCAGAGATGTGAAGAATATGAGCTGCTGCTTAAGTGTTTCATGTAGAGATAACAGCCATAGCAAATGCATTATACTCTGGAGCGACTCTTATGTGCTCGTGAATTTGGAAAACTGTTTTCACAGTGAAGAAAAGCACTGACTGATGGCAGTGAATCAGATGAACGTGGATCCACAGCAAAAGAGTGTTGTGCCAGTTCATGCACCCTAAACATATAACAACACCTGTTTATTCCTTCCCGTTAACCCTTAAACACCCAGCTCAGGTGTCCCAGGACATTAACCCTTCATTCATCTTTACGTGAGACCTCCACCTTCTTAGTATTCCTCAATCTGTTCATTATCAACAGTATGACAAGAAAAAATACAAGATTGTGAAAGAATGTCTGTTGTCATTGAATGGTGTGACTGATGAAGCTGGTTAGCGTGTCGTTACTCTGATGGTCTGTCTCTGGTCTGCAGTCAGTGTTCCGCAGCTCTCCGCTGCTCGGCTGCTTTCTCTTCGGTCTGCCGCTAGGCGTCATCAGCCTCATGTGCTACGGCATCTGCATGGCCGAGTCTGACGACGACACGGAGCTGATGAAGAGAGACGGCTTCACGGACGAGGAAGAGGAGGAGGGCGAGGAGGAAGAGCAGCAGCGGCTGACGGCCGGAGCAGAGGGAGAGGAGGATGAAGACGCAGAGAAGATCGAGCAAAAGAGTCTGGCTGAAAAAAAGGTGGATTAACGAGAAACAAACGCCTCCGAAGAGGAAACCATGGCCTAGAGTCTCCTCGCTGGTTTTCATTGGATTATTTGTTTTCTAATTCATTATTTTCAGAATTGCTCCACCAAAAGTCTTGTTTCTGAAATCTTCAAGACCAGTCATGGAGCTCCGCATGTGACTGTATTGAGTTACAAAAGCACATAGACTGTTTTAAAGTGAGCGACAGCTTATTAATAATCATTTCTGTTATAATGTGTCCTTATGAGCCATTCTGGATGGTCACTTTAAATCACGTGTCGACTGCAGTTAACTCGATGCTAAACGATCGATCTCTCAATGGACACACGTCCTACTTTTTAAAACATTTTTGGATGAGAAAGTGCAGTTATTGTTGCATCAGAGACTTGATCTCCAGAGATTGTCTTACATGAGATTCATTACATTATCAAAACATAATGACCGCACACAGATGCTTTTCTCCTGCTTGCTGCACAGACGTGATCTTACCGAATGTAGAAGTCTAGTTATTCTAGTATGGATTTGGTAAGAGTGTGAAATGATGAACGAAGGCTTGGGCTTTATCAAATGCACTGAACACATTCACACACACACAGCAGCTTTAGGTTCAGTTGATTTTTTTTATTTTGAACTAGATAGTGTTGATCCTAGAGAAACATGGGCGTTCCTTCTGTAGGGTGCTATTTAACATTTTATAGCAGGTAGAGTCAGTGTATGTGTTTTACAGATATAAAGGCTTTGTGTCAGCTCTTCTCAGCATCAGTTACCAAAATTTCCTCAGAAACTGTTATTGCATTCATGAAAAAGGAAAGTGAAGACGCGGGACTTTTATTTAGATTCTCAAAACAACAGCGAATCACCGTAAACGGCTGTAAAAGTCTGTGACCGGAGACGTTTGCTCGTGATGAACGGTTTTACTGCGCTTCAGATCAGCAGATCTCAGACACACTGTTACTAGACAGCGTTTCCAGTTTGAGCCAAAGCTGTCGTTACGTAAGAACATCCACGAGTATTTAAGAGCTCGCGCTGGATTGTAATGGAGAAACGTTGCTAACCCTTGCCTTCACATTCCCCTCCTGATGCCTGTTGTTACTGTAATGATTCTCTTATTTTAACACACAACTTGTCTTACTGTTTCTGCTTTGTTCATTAAATGTTTCTTTGTCTCTCTCTCTCTCGTTCTGCATTCTTCCCTCACATCAGTATCATGCTAAAGTAGACTTTGACTAGATTTCGTTCAGTTTTTGTATGTGATTACATATTGTTTAGGTGTTAGTGGGGTAAGATTTTGTCACGTCAACATATTTATGAAGGTTTTATCATGAACAGCAAAGTTCTGCCAAAAACGATGCCGTAATGATTACAATCAATAAAGAAGTCCATGTTTGACATTTTTTTGAAGCTGTAATTCATTAAAAAGCCTCATCATGTGTAATTATGACCAATCGTTGTCACTTCAGAGACTTCATGCCCGTCCATAACTGAAGTAACTGTAAATGAGTGAGTTCAGCGTGCTCTGTCAGTGCGATTCAGTCTCTGGAGGTCAGGGGTCACGGGGTCACAGCGCTGATCACTCTCCTCTCATCATGTTGCAGTTTGGTGTAAATGTACTTCTGTTTATTTAAAGTGTTCCTCTGCTTGAGGAAGAGTTCATATGTTCTCTTTTCGAGTGTTAAGTGTTCATATCTGGGAAGGCATTTCTTTAATTAGCTTTTTTTTTTTTTTTATCTTCACAGTCCATGTAGAAGAGTTTCATAAAGGAGCTTGGCATTAGGGCAGCTTCTAATAAGAACCCTTTACCACAAGGATCTGCTAAAAAGGGCTCGTTACAGAACCTGTAAGTCCAGCTTTGAGCCTTTGTGAGAGGCAGAAGTTCATATTTACGCTTTGGGGTGTTTTTTAATGTCCAGTGGATCAGTCTTTTGTCCTGTACATATTCCTGACTCATAGCGTCTGCTGTTTTCATGATCGCATAACTGCTCTGAGAAGAAGATATTCTATTCATAGATAGCACTCAGTCTTATAATGGGAAGGGCTGGGTTATGTGAATGAAGGTCATTTTAGCATGCTTGTACAGTCCATGTAATGTTTGTGGTTTCTGAAATCTTTCCATCATGAAAGCAAGAGCGTAAAGCAGGATTTGGGCTTTTCTGAGCTCAGACTGTTTTAGTCTGGTTTACACCACAAGAGAGAAGCGCAGTCGTATATTTCAGAAACTGCTGGACAGAGTTACACTGTGATTTGAATGAAGCCGTTTCATTTGACATCAGAAAAATGATTTTCCTTCTTTTTTTGGAATGGTTTCTGTGGTGTAGAATAAACAACCAGGCCAGAAATGCAGTGAACAACTCTGTTTACTATTCCTCTGTAACGCTCTTACACACACAGAACTAGGCAGAACCAAACGCACATAGCTCAATCAGACATGCATTGTGATCACAGAACAGTCTTTCTTTTTCATAAACAGTGCTTTTCCACCCTCTAGTGGACACAACATTTCCCCCCCTCTCCCTCCCTCCCTCCCATGATCTCTCTAAACATGGAAGGTCGCAACAAAGTCTTTCAAGTGATATGGCCGGGATCTGGTACGCACTGGTCGTGGAAAGGAAAAGTCCTGACATTGGCCTGAAGGGCCCGAAGACTGTGGGGCCTGTGAAATTAAGGGCGGGGTAAGGGACAGGGGGTGGAGGCAAAAAGGGTCTAAGTCTTGTCTGCCAGCCTGAGGTGTTGCAGTTTCCCGTTCCAGTGGGAGGAAGGTATGTGGCAGATTTCCACTGCTTTGTGGGCAGACTGGGGTAGGTGCAGCTACTTTACAAAGACGACTAGCGTGCCATCGAGTACCATCCTCCAGGAGATAAGATGCCCTGCCTATCTGACGAGTAACCAACAAGGGGGTAGACCAGAACGAGGCCAGTTTATTCCTCCTGTGTGGTCTGCGCACTCTCACCTAATCCTGAACTGCGATATCTGGTTCTTTGGCACGTCTGAGTCTGTCAAATCTCAGTTTCATCTGGGGGTCCCTTGGATTTGGAGGGGCAGCGTCTGTCCAGCGGCAAAGTGAGTTCCCTGCCCAACATTAGGAAGGCAGGGGAGACCCCAGTGGTGCTATGCTGCGAGGCCCGATAGTGTAGCAAAGTCAGACGAATGGCTTGGTTGAAAGAGCACCCTTGTGCCAAGTGTGCCCTAAGGCCATTTTTCAAAGACTGGTGGAAACGTTCCACTCCCCTATTAGCCTGGGGGTGGTAAAGAGTGGTGCGGATGTGTTGGATACCCTTGTTCTCCAGGTAAGAGAAGAAGTCCACAGAGACTAACTGAGGGCCGTTATCCGTTGTAATAATTTGTGGAAGGCCCCAGCGGGAGAACAGCGAGTCCAGAAAGTTCACGATGACTTGAGTGGTGACTGAGCCGGTCGTGATTAGTTCTGGCCATTTGGAGTACAAATCATATGCTACCCCCAGGTATGGCTGGTTGTGGGGAACCCCGTGAAATTCACCGCAGATATCCATCTGAAGGTGCTGCCAAGGACAAGTAGGCCAGGCCAGGGGTCGGAGGGGCGGGGGAGGTGGGTTGCCTGTTTTTCCACCCACAAGACAGGCTGGACAGTCTTTAACTAAAAGTTCGATTTCTCTGTCTATGCCCGGCCACCAGACTCTATCCCGGCAACGCTGTTTGAGCTTCACTATTCCCAGGTGCCCCTCGTGCGCCATTTCGAGCACACGCGCGTGAAGGGGCCCCGGGACCACAGTGCAAAGCCCACGTGCCACACGTGTCATTCCAGCAAGATAGTTCATCTTTGATGCGGGCAAATGGCTTTAGCTCTTCTGAGACATGTAGGGGGCAGCCTTCTCGGACATAAGTGCGGAGCAGAGAGAAGATAGAGTCCTGCTCTGATGCAGTTTTAAGCTCCTGTAGTGATACCACGCACTGCAGAGGTGTGTGTAGCAGCTTCTGTTATTTCCGGAGCTGGGACAGAGTGAGACAAAAGGTCAGCCACCACGTTTTCATGGCCCGGTGTGAACTGAAGGCTGTAGTTATACTGACGGAGCCGGTCATACCAGCGGTGTAGTCTCAGTGGTCTGTGCCCTGTTCCTGACGTCGCCAGCAGTGCCACTAAGGCATGATGATCCGTCCTCAAAGTGAAATGGCGGCCATACAAGTACAGGTGACATCTTTCGCATGCCCATAGACATGCCAGCGCTTCCCGTTCACCCACTGAATATCGTTGCTCTGTTGGGTTAAGGGCCCTAGAGGCAAAGGCTATGGGCCTTTCTACGCCCTTCTGTACCTGTGACAATACGGCTCCGATGGCTGTGGTGGATGCATCGCAGGTGACCATGGTTTTACAGGAGGTGCTGAAGTGTGAAAGTATGGGAGGTGAAGTGAGTTGGGCCTTGAGAGTGCGCACAGCCTCCATGCATGCCTGCGTCCACACCCACGGCTCATCCTTCCAGAGTAATTGCCGCAGCGGGGCAGTAGTGGCTGAATACTGAGGTAGAAACTTTTAAGTAAGTAGCCCATCATCCCTAGAAAGGAAGCCACCTGGGCAGGTGAAGTCGGTTCGGGGATGGACTGAATGGCATCCACATTAGACTGGAGTGGGGAAATGCCCTGTGCTGACAACTTGAACCCCACAAACTCGATGACAGGTACAGCAAAAATAAATTTTTCACCATTTAAAGTTATCCTGTGCTTGCTGAGTGCATCAAAAACCCTGTTGAGGCGCTCATCATGAGTGTGCGTTGTGGGCCCATGCGCGACAATGTCGTCAAGGTAGATGACAACGCCTGGTATCCCCGCTAGCACAGAGATCATAACCTTTTGGAAACAGGAAGGGGCGGAGCTAAGGCCGAAAGGCATCCTAGTATAATGAAATACTCCCTCATGTGTCACAAAAGTCGTCAGATTTCTGCTGTCAGCATGAAGGGGCACCTGCAAATAGCCTTCTCTTAGGTCCAGCTTAGAAAAAACTGTGGAGCCATAGAATTGAGCCGTGAGTTCCTCCGTCGTTGGTAGCGGGTACTTATCTGGAATAACTGCCTTATTGACTTGCCTCAAGCACCAGATTTTTTAGTGGCCACCACCAGGTTTGAGACCTAGGGCGACGCATCCACCTGCTCAATGATGCCTCCTTGCAGCAGGCGCTGTAGTTCCGTTGACCCCTTCACGCAGGGCCAGGGGAATACGGCGTAGAGGTTGAATGACAGGGCTGACAGTATGGTCAATGAGAGGCTGGTGCATAAATGAGGTGAGGCAACCCATCAAACAGCGTTGGCCGCTGTTGCTGCTATATTGTGGTCACAGCCAGGATAGCAGCCCCCTCCATGTCCACTAGGGCGAAGCACTGATTACGGAGTCAGGGGCGTCTGCAGCCGCTTCTGCACCCCGGTCGGGTGGCTGCTGGGCTGGTGAAGTTGTTTCCATAAATGTCAATTGGCTGTGTGTTGACTTATTTTGATTTGTGAGAGTGGCCACACATTCAGCAGCGCTTTCCACTTGAAATGCTACCGCAATTGCCCTAGATAGCGTCAAGTCATCTGGTTGTAACAGCAGGGTTTCTCTAATTTTGTTATCATTGGTGTGTTCAATCAGCTGATCGCGGATCATTTCGTTGCGCAGCCCTCCGAATTTACAAGAATTCGCTAGCCCTCTCAGATTGGCCACATACTGATGCACGGACTCACCAGGGAGTTGATGGCGCCGGCGCCGCAGCAAAACGCTCTGTGGAGCGGTGAAATGTTCATTCAGGGCCATCACAGACTGTTCATAAGTGTTTTCACCACTGTCGCTGATTGTTCCGAGCACTCGCTGTCCATCCGCCCCTAGACAGTGTTGGAGAAGTGCTTTTTTTCGTGCCGCACTCACCTCTGTGAGGCCGGCTGTGATGAGATATGTCTCAAAAGATTGCAGCCAACGGGGCCACGGAATAGGAGGTTCACCTGGAAGAGCGAGGAAGGGCAGCGGCGGTGGTAGAGAAAAATCAGCCATCCTTGTCGCCAAAATGTGGTGTAGAATAAACAACCAGGCCAGAAATGCGGTGAACAACTCTGTTTACTATTCCTCTGTAACGCTCTAACACACACAGAACAAGGCAGAACCAAATGCGCATAGCTCAATCAGACATGCATTGTGATCACAGAACAGTCTTTCTTTTTCATAAACAGTGCTTTTCCACCCTCTAGTGGACACAACATTTTCTTCTCTAGACAGCATTATATCTCCACTGTTATACGTAGAGATTAAACAGTTTGCTCATATCCACTGAAACTGAGTCTGCTAATGTTGCAGAGATCTCAACAGTGTGTTTAGATTGCAGGCGTCTCATTATTCTGTTCACTATCAAACATTATTTATGGCTCTATACTTTTACTGTGCAGCAACAGTTGACATTTAT